CCCCCCCCCTCCAAGCACTGAGCAGGATTATTTCCCAGCTCTTCCAATTCCGGGTCCGAAGTCGGCCCAGCCAGCTGGTTTTGATCCCAGCCCCCCCCCAGGGCAGATTTTCAGCTGAGTGATCTAGGACAACACAGAACAGACTGTGACAGGTGGCAGCTCGGTTCTGCGTCCCATGCCCAGGCCCCCCCTTCCCTCTGCCCCGCCTCCCCACTTTTCCGGTTCAGAAACCGACACCGTTGCTATTCTCAGCCCCATCGCCAGGCCAGGGAAGGGCCGAGGAGCAGGAGGGAGGGAGGCAGGGAGCGAAAGGGGAGAGGACAGCTGGGAAGGGAGAAGAGGAAAGAGGCAGGATCGGGTGGGGCTCACAGGTCAATTTCAAATCCCTATTTCAACCCCTCTCGTTAGTGGCCTCCCCTTCGTCAGAGCAAGAAGAGGGGTCTAAGAAAGGGAGCTGGGAAATAGGGGACACTGTCTCCCCGCTGCACGGAGGGCCCTGGCCTGGCAGGAACTGGGGGGGATCAATACAACAAACCACATCCGCACATACCTAACAGTCGCCACAGAGGATCGAACTCGGGACCCACAAACATACCGGCGTCTGCTGTTTGAGTTAGGGGTTAGGTAGCAGGTGGCTGTAGACACCAGGGCCGGCCACAAGAGGGAGACATGACCACACGGGTAAGGCACTCCTTCAGGGAGTGTCAGCGTGGCTCCCTCTAGTGGCTGGCTTTAGGGACTGCAACAGGCTGCTAGTCCCTTGCTTTGGTTCTGAAGGTTGCAGGTTCGCGCCAGGCAGACGTAGGAACAGCCCTACTGGGTCAGAGCAATGGTCCAGCTCGGCCAGTCTCCTGTCTTCCGACAGGTGCTTCAGAGGGACAACGCCTCAGTGTGTGGCTCAAACTCCCAACGGGGGCAGCCGGGCCCAGAGAGGAAACCCAAAAGCCTCTGCAAAGGTGGTACTGTTTTGCAGCCCCCTTTAGGAGATGCTGCCCAGTAACTTTGTGCTTTGTAACACACACACCCCCGCCCTCTTGCTTCAAACCTATTTCAGTGAAAAGAGGTTTTGTTTGGCACTTTCAGCAAGTTCAGTGCAGGGTGGGAACCACAGAGGCCGCCGAGGGACGACACTGACAGGAGGCAGAAAACGAAACTGGCCGGGAGCACCCAGCCCCAGCGGGTTTGAGAGGCCTGATCCTCCGTGCCGTCCAAATCAACGGTGGCCAAGTGCGGCGAGGGGAGCTCAAGCGTTACAGATAGTGAATTAATGATGGGTAATTATGATGCATGTGCCCAAATCCTGCAATCACCCACCCTGGGGTACAGCCGGAGCGTTGCATTGATGCCAGATTTACACTGGTGGAAATAAGAGGTCCGTAGCTAGACTGACAGTAGCTAGTTACAGATGTATGTTAGCACCAGCCCCCTCTTGGGTTGACGCTGGTTTTACACACTGACCCTCGCCCGATTAGCACGAGGGTAGACAGGCTCAGAACCAGGCCCAGTCATGCTGATGGAAATTGGGAGCAGCGATGCCACTCTTCGGCCCCGATTCCAGCCTTGCCAACGCCAACCCTTCAAAAGTGATCAACCAGCCCCCCCTCCTCCCACCGTCGTGAGAGTGGCTTAAAAAAAATCTTGAAATTAAAATAAAAAAAATAGATGCTTTTTTCATTTGCCTTCTGGATTTTGAGCCTAGGAGGGGGTGTGTGTGTGTGTGTGTGTGGGGGGGGGATTCAGGACGTCAAGCCTCTCTCTGCCACCACGACGTCTGGAAACTTACCGTTCTTTTGTTTTAAATGGAAGCCGAGAGTCTCACATCATCACTGGACTCCCGGAGGTGGGGCTTTCAGAACCACCAAAATCAGGAGCAAATTGCCGAGCCTGGGATTCTGAGATGACTCCCCCTCGGAGGACTCAGGAGTGAGTCCGCTGCTCTAAGGGGGAGCGAAGTAAGTTCTTGGGGCCAGGGACCACCATTCTGTTCGTAGAGCACCCAGCGTCACGGGGCCCTGGTCCGTAGCTCCCATGTGCTACCACAATACACAACTAATCATACTAAGACTAAAAGCAGAATTTACGCCCCCCCCACCCTCCCGTCCTGCTCATGTTCCTGGTGAAGCCAGGAGCTCAGGACCATGGGACACAAGCTGTCGTCAGTTGCGCCAGCTGGTTTAAATGGGTGACGACTGGGCTGCCCAGAGAAGGTCTAGCTGGGGCAAGGCTGGCCCGGGATCTCTCTCCAGAGCTCCCACGATCTGTCAATCAAGTATGACCCCCCCACACACGTTACCCCCAGCCCCGCACGCGGAGGGGAGAGCGTGCGAATATGGCACTAGCTAGTGAATAAAAGATGGGCCAAGGGCGGGGAGCCAGTAGGGTCCAGGCCACAGCCCTGGGCAAAACGCCTGCCCGTGTTTAACTGGCCGACCTGATTGCTTGCAACGTGCCAGGCTCCAGGGACAGGGTGAAGCAGACGTCCCCAGAGCCCAGGGCAGCTCCCCACAGCCCTGCCTGCTGGGGCTCGGGGCCTCTCGGCGCACCTGTGGTGTGCACAGACCGACAGGCAGCACCCACACCCCCACCGGAGAGGGGCACACAGCTGCACCTCGGTTGTGTAAGAGAGACACGGTCGGGGAGGGAACAGCTTTTGGAGGATGCTGGGGAGCCCGAAAGCTCGTCTCTCACCACCAGAAGCTGGTCCAGTAACGCTATCACCTCCCCCACCTTGTCTCTTTAATATCCTAGGGCCAACCCGGCTACAACCCAGCAGACACCCTATGGTATGTACACAAACGTACACACGCTCTGAGCCCCCCTCCCCCATCCAATCAAACACACACAATTGTAAAGCGTATATGCACAAGCACACACACCGAGAGCACCCCTAGAGTGTGCATGCACAATCCGGCATGCCCATGTACACGTCCACAGATACGCACACCCGTGACACTCCCACAACGCCCCGACTGTGCGTTCGCACAGATTCACACCCAAACTGACGCGCACACTCACGGACGTGCACAATTGATCACCAGCATAGTCACAGGTAATCTGCTGCACGCACACACACACACACACACACACACAACGAGCCGCT